GAGATTGTAGAGAATCATACTAAATTTTATTTTCATTAAATCGTCTTTTTAAAATATACATAACATTTATGAATTAATTGTCCGAAGTTGAATTCTCAATAAAAACGTTTTAAAGCAAACTGTGCTCTCTAGGGAGAGAATTCTTAATTCGTATTTCGTAAAAAGCTAAATAAAACTTTTATTAAATAATATACGAAGTTTATTCATCCTATTTCTTTTAAGATGTCAAAGGACTGTTATTTGAATTTTCCCACAATAATATGAGTCGACATTATATTTTAATTGAATTTAATATAGCCTTCTTTTCTCAAAAACTATTCTAATCCAGGGTGGACTGCAGTTTCGGCCCAGCACCCATAGTGTCGCTCGAACCATGACAGTAAATCCACCATATATATAAAAATGATCAACTGGTAGTCTCGAACATATACTTATAAGTGAAAATAGTAAATAGTGTCAGTTTACCTAAATACTTCGGTTATACAAAGTTTAATGTTCATTCAAGCCTGAAATTTATGCATATTTTTTTTATTTATCCCTTATCGGCTGGAATATACAATTATAATATACTTGATATGCACAAATGAACTAAAAATGTGAAGCTAACATAATATTTAGGCAGCCTGCATATATGATCTATGCGTAGCCTTATTAATTCAGCTATTTACGTTAAGATATGCAGCCTCCTCATGTTATATGGATTAAGCTTTACCTTACCTTATAAAAGAGCCATTGCTGCTATCTAATTAGAATGTCCAAGGCAAATATTGGAATCTGGCAATATACAAAAGTATAACGACTAAATCATCTATAGGGGGGACTATCTTACCCAGTGGAGTCGGAAAATGCAGTAAAATTGCATTGAGTGCATAGAAGCTAGTATCATAATTCACTTATTGAATAAAACCAGAGCTTTAGAAATTCCATAATAGGTTTTTAGATTGGATCTAAACTGGCTATAACTCGAATAAAATGCCTTTGGATAAAGCTGGGACAATCAAAGGAGTAGGTTATCTTATTTCGATGGTGCATGAGAAGGGATTGTCAATATTTTGCTCCACAGGACCTGCTAATGAGATGGAATATCGACAGAAATCATAAATATTTTCATATACTTATTGGTTTGGATTCAAATATTGACTTTATCAGAATACTTGATGCTGACCTAGTAGTAGGAAAAAGATTAAAATGTTACTTGAGCTCTGGCCTTGTTTCTTGCTCTGAGGATTTTTGATTTGGCAACAAACCTGACTACCTTCACTGATGCTACTAACTACAATGCATTTAAAACATCCAGAGGTATATGTAGTCATGATTCTAATGTTGCAGGAGGGCATAACCCAAATAGCACAAGCTGTGGTATGACGAAAAGCACTTCAAGGTTCCTCTATAAGAAGTTTAAAGTAGGTAAAGCCATACTTCAATATTATTTATATTTAACTAGATTAGTAAATTTACTCATTTTTGGAATTAAGGTTAGATTTTTGCGGTTTTGTTAAAAAAATAATGATATAAAAATATACATAATTAAATATTGCCCATTCTTAAGTGTCATTTAAACAAATAAGTCGGCTGGAATTTACAAAGTAAAAATTATCAACAAAAGATATATTAAGTTATGAAGAGTAAGATGGTGTGGCCTTTTGTGTGGTCGCAATCTACTTTCGTTGTATAGAAGTTGTTTGACCTTGTTTTTGCAACTTGGTAATATTGGTAGGAAGACTTAGAGGAACGCATCTAGTCCGGAGTCTATTGTATACATGATAATATCCAAAGTTGTCAAAGAGACAAAGAGATTCATCAAAGTATTTAATTATATTCAACTATAACTCTATCTGTAAAGCCTACTTAAAGACATAAATAAGTAATATAGTAGATTTCTATAGCAAATACAAATGTGTTTAAGCGACAATCTCACAAAAGGGAAAGGCATAGCCATCCTTGCAATTCACTTCTGCACTCGTGGCAGTGTGGCTTAGTGTTCAACTTGTCGAGGCTATACACTGCACAATCCGCTTTAAACTTCTGCTGGAGATGCTAACGAGGACTAGGCAAGTTTGAAACTGTAGTCCTCTCCTGGTTTGATGAGGGTACCTTTTTGAAACTAACGCCACGCGAAATTCATTGGAAACGTAAGGTCTATGTATATCTTTATGGAAAAAATCAACTTACATTCCTTAATCATTTCAAACGAATTAGAGTAAATTCAGTTCATATGCTAAACAATTCAGTTAGAATTTTATTACATAGCGAGTTTTTTGACCTCAGAAATCATCTTCAGCATAGATTTTTTGTGCAGGCTAAACATTATTAGAAGAAATAAACATATAAAAGGTTAGCTTTAATTATGCCGATCTCTTACTTACTTCTAGGAAAACAACTGTTTCTCGCCTATATCAGATAAGCCCTGTTTGAATTTTCCCTATAAACATTGGCTCGAACCAACTAACATATATGCACAGACATATACTAGAGATTTCTCTATCTTATTCAATAATCTGAAAGCCTCCTTATTTTATAGGCAAGACTATGCATATTTTACCTGGTATACTTAATTGACAATATAATTTAGAATTATATTTCCTTCGAAAATATTTATGAACTAGGCCTCTTATAAAATTAGAATAAACACATTGTATATATATATATATATATACATATGTAGGAAGGATTATATATATTTTCCGTATTTTAGTAGAGTCTCGAGACTACCAGTAAATCAGTAATATAAGATGTATTTACCCTATTTCGTTTAAAGTGATTTAGGACGGATAGTGACATTTCCCCACACTGATATGAGTAGAGCTGACGTTTCTATTGAATTTCACATTTCCTTGCTTTCCAAAAAGTTGTTCTCATCCAGACAGAAGTGGATCGCAGTTTCGACCTCACATAGGTCCTATCAGCACCACCAGCGAGAGTCGAACCGTGACAGTGCAGCTTGACACGTTAACCACTCGGCCACATTGCCATGAGTGCCCTTGGGTCACAGGGCAGATGTGAATTTCGACGATCCCACCAAAGAATACGATATGACAAAAGGCTTGGCCTTCCTGGAAATTCACATCTGTTTTGTGACACAAGGGCACTCGTGGCAATGTGGTCGAGTGGTTAACGTGTCAAGCTGCCATTCTCCACTGTCACGGTTCGACTCCCGCTGGGGGTGTTGATAAGATTTATGCGAGGTCGAAACTGCAGTCCACTGGTGCCTGGATGAGAACAACTTTTGGCAAAGCAAGGCTATGTGAAATTTAATGAAAACGTCAGTTCTACTCATATCATTGTGCGAAAATTCTACTACCAGTCCCTCATCACCTTAAACAAAATAGGGTGAAAACATTTCATATTATTGAATATAATAGTTTGATTGATTCTAAATCTATGAAAGTCAATGAATGAATACGTTTACATTGATGAATACAAAATATTATCATAATGAACAAATTAATGAAATGCAGCTCTTAAAATTGCTTTTCAAAAGGATCGAATTGTCCATTCAAGGTTGCAGTTCCACGTAGGCTTAGCTTCCCACTTCCAAACATTGCTGACAATACCGATAAATTACGGACTGGCTCCTATAGTATAGCAGCTCTAGTTGACTTCGTTTCAGATCGATTAAGTCAGATGCCTTCTAGTCAACTTTCTTCAACTCAAAGAAAGGCAATTTCTTCAAATAATTTTCACAAAGGACTTGGGAAGACCGTCAGTGGAATGCGATTTCGGCTATACAATCTGAGCTCGGATTGCCAAACTTCAGGTTCTACTACTCCGGATTCTACAGGTTACCAAAATGATTACCAATACGTAAATATATCTAAAAAGGCTTCGCCATACCATCTGATCAAGATTAATCCCCCTCTCAAGCAGACTTTAACTAGAATAAAATTGAGCCGTTCAGAGGACCGTTTTTACGGTTCTAAGCAGTCCCTACATAATAAAGCTTTGGGCTCCCAGTCTACCCATTCGAATCGGCTCTGGATGGAGCATGAGATCTTTCGACTTACCAAAATGTTTGGCAATAATTCTTGCACTCTCCAAGCTGATATAAGCAACCAAGACAGGCAAGGCCGAGAGATTATTGACACAAAAATACAGAAAGTCGGTAGGATGGAAACTAATGCCTGCCTCCCAACTTCAGACCTATTTACTACATCAACGTCACAATTGCAGAATACACTGACAAATGAGTTAATTCATGCAGCTCTGAAATCACAACCGCAGCACGAATGCTCATTAGAGACAAATGAATTGGCATTAGATGGGATGAATATCTATCGCTTTTCCGCATCTACGTCTCTTCATGAAAAGCATCTTTTTAAATTTGAGGATATAAGCCATTTTAATGGCTCTCAGTTAACTTCCAGCTCTCTGAAAAATAGACTGAGAAAGTGTAGCGCCGGTCACATTGCATCTAATTGTGATGAAGTTGATGGAGAGTATGAACGGAGCCCTACTAGTATTCATGACAAAACAAACTTTGGAATCACTCACCGATCAAATTTATTGAGAGAGATTAAAGATCAGAGCCAGAAATTTCAGTCCTGCTCAGCTGTGGCTCCCTCGGACTTAGTTCAGCATAATCTACAAAAGCAGGTAGATCGAGCAAAATATATTAAAATTTGCTCTTATATTTTATGTGATCACAAATCAGAGCTCTAATACATACTTTATTCAAATTTTAATTTATATGGGTTCCAGTAAAATTACTAGCTGATAGCAGGAAATTCCAAAAGTTTTGGAATATAGCAAAATAAGTTTAAAAATAAATCCATTTGATATACAATTGGAATATTTAGGCTATATGCTGCACGAAATATGATATTTATAAAGTGATTTTGACATCATTCTTTTAGCTATTACTCCCTATAAATATCAATATATACTCTGAAATGATGTTTCATTTATATTCTATTAATTGTACCGAAGATATCTACTTGCTTGTGGATTCTTGCTCTCTAAAACAAATGAGATTGTTGGAGTAAAATAAGATTTTACTATACATCTATCCAGTGAAGAAAATATATTGAGACACAATTTTTAAGCTAAGGTATAAAGACCAGGATGGTGTGACCTTTTGTATGTTCGCGGTTTCCTTTCGGTGGATAATAGCTTTTATACCATGTTTTCGTAACTTGGTCAAATGGATAGGAATACTTAGAGGAATGCACTTTCTCCGGAGTTCATAGTTTACATGATAATTTATAAAGTCGGACCGTGGAATTAGTACATTCCCAGAGGTTTGGCCTGCATCACAGTCGACAGCATCAGTGAATTTTACTACAACTCATCGAAGAGACAAGTGAAGTCAATCCCTTGACCAGCTTTCTGTCGAGATGGTTCTGCTATCACTCCTCTTTCTCTCCTCGCCCCTACATCCATTTCCTACCCTCTTGTCTCATCCTCGTCCTATCGCAACTTCTGACATCTTTATATTCGACAAGAGATTTGCCCTTTTGGCGAATTTATCGTGACGTCATCACACTGCTGTTTGCATTGCTCCTCTCCCCTTCGATTGGTAAATCTGACTCTAGCCTCCTGTCCGGATCTATCTCATGGGTCAGTGGGTCCGTTTCTCTACTTTCTGATTGGCCGATTTCACTCTGTTCCAGCCACAGTGTACTGTTACTCCAAGTGCTTTTTCCGTGACTAGAAATGAAAAATGGGTTTATATAAGCTAGTAGGAAATTGTGATAGTGAAGGGATGTTACGACGATATAGGGTATGATAGATATCACAACTTTTCAGCAGACAATTGGTTGAATCATTGACTACCAAACTGTGCGCCGCGGCGCCCCGGGGAACCGCAGCCTCTTTATAGAGGCGCCGCGAAATATTGAAAAGCTTTAATTTAAGAAAATGTGCAGTGATTTGCAGGCTGTTCCATCACATTAATTATTAAATATTAATTGTATGTCAATAAAGTAAAAAAAGAATAAAGTTTTATTTATTTGTATCTCTTACTTACGAATAGTCATACTTAGGGTAGGGTGCCATGGAAAAATTTTAATTGAAAAAGGGCGCCGCGACTAGGAAAAGTCTGGGAAGCACTAAGTCAAATGATCGACTTCACTTGTTACTTTGACAAGTTTTGGTGTGGTGTAGCCTCATTGACGATCCAGGCTAAGCGTCTGGGAAGGTACCAAGTCCACAGTCCGACTGAAAATTATAAGGCCTACTATGGACTCCAGACAAGGTGCGTTCCTCTAAGTCTTCCTGCTACTATTGTCAAGTTGCAGCCAAGGCCAAGGTCAATCAACTTTTGTAAAACGAAAGGACACTGCGACCATGCAAAAGGCCATACCACCCAGGTCTTCATATCTTTGGTTAACTTATGGAAGTAAGCTTGCCAAACAATGCACAAATTACAGCCGGACAAAGAAAATCATTTTAAGTCAATCGTGCCATTTTGACATTTTTAGACTGCGCCAGACGTTATGATATCATTCCTGGATTTTGTGATTTTAAGAAACATTTCCATCCAGATTAGGTTAATAAGATTCTTCACCAAGCTCCTTGCATAAGAAAAATGAAACCTATGAAAAGGAAAAAAATAAGCTATTTAAATTTATATATATTAAATCAAAGCTTGGGCGTAATCTTGCCAGTATCCTGACTCCGGAGTATTTTCAAAAACTCCAGAGTATGGACAACAAGAAATTACG